GTGCGTGCGTGCGTGCGTGCGTGCGTGCGTGCGTGCGTGCGTGCGTGCGTGCGTGCGTGCGTGTGTGTTAAACCAAAAACATATCAATACCTCTCTCACATCTAAAAACAGGTTTAACCACTTATTACCTCAAGCACATAAAACCTGTGAGGTAGATTTTTCATGGGCAAACTCTTTTGGACTGAATCATTTGTTTCTGAATACTTGCTCAAGCTTGGATGTATATTAAAGAATACTGTATTTTCTGCACTAAAAGGCGCACCTAAAAGCATTCAATTTTCTCAAAAGCCGACAGTGCGCCCTATAGTCCGATGTGCCTATTATAAAGAGCCTGTATAACTCTCTGTATTCCCCATCGAGTTGTTTCCCTGTTAGTGTTAAGATGCCATCTAGTGGTGATTAGTAACAGGAAGCAATTGTAACCTAAAGGGTTCTGCCCGACACTAATTGGCATGTGCATTTGCCAAAACACACTCAGACAATTACTTTGTGAGCTCCGCGCAGCCATTATGAAACGAAGATAATACCACAGGCATAGTTAACTACTGATTAAACGAAAAAGGAGACAAGCAAGAGTTCTAAGGACATTTAACCCCTTGTGGATGTGAGCCTTTTTGTTGAATCAATTGTCTTCATAACTTTTGTCTTTCATTTATTGTTTTGTAATGCCATTTGTATTTATTGTATGCAGCCATTGTGAACGCTCAATATCACAGGTGTCAAACTCAAGGCCCGGGGGCCAGATATGGCCCACCACATCATTTTATGTGACCCGCAAAAGCAAATCAAACGTCAACTTCCATGATGCTTGCTAAAATCTGTCCCAAAATTCATATTCTCTTGCGTAATAAATAAGAGAGGTATTGTAACCATTTCTTGTTGCTAAATCTCTCATTACAGTAACTTAAACAATAGTGGAATAAATCGTTGTTCTTGACTCCTTTATATGGTTTCAGTCATAACGGCCCTCCAAGGGAAACAGGAACTAAAATATGGCCCGTGACAAAAAATGGGTTTGACACCCCTGCTCTATATAAATGAAATTGTATGATATTGTAGTTCCTGTACCGTACCACCTTCTAGTGCAGGGGTCGGGAACCTTTTTGACTAAGAGCCATGAAAGCAAAATATTTGGAAATGTATTTCGGTGAGAGCTATATATATATATATGTATGTATGTATGTATATATATATATATATACACACATACATGTGTGTGTGTGTATATGAAATAAATCGTGCTGTGTCAAACCGCAACAGCTGCTTACTTAGAGCGTTGGCGTTTTGACTCTCCACGGTGGATTTCCGATTAACTGTGTCTTCATTTTGTCTGGGTTCAAAACAAACATGCACATACAGGCATTGGCCTAAAACATTTACAGAGAAAAAAAAATAGAAACCTGGACGTTGAAATATCTACAACACAGGTAAGAAAAAGCAGTAGGAAGGTCTTTCTGTTTAAATTTCAGTGAATGCAAGCATCGCTACCGTTTCAATTGGGCATTTTTCTCCTGAATATATGATCATAATTAATTTGCATAAGGTGTAATGTAGGAGAAAAAAA